TCTTCCCCAAGAGTAAAATGTTCTAAAAGCAGATGCCTTAAAAGTGAAACAGATGACTTCAAGGCAGGTAAATGTCCTGAAGTGAAGAACAATAGGAACTACACAAGTGTTGATGTACTGGTGGAAGTTAAAAAGAAAACTGTGCCGCTTGAATTCTCTATGAAGGTTTTAGCAGAAAAGGTAAAAAAGGTAATACAGCAACAACAGAAAAGTACAGAAACACAGAATTACAGAAGATTTAAAGCAAAAATTAGTCCTGGAGAAAATAAAGTAGCAGAAGATGAATTAAGAAAAGAGATCAGGTATTACCACCTTCTTAACATATTGTATTCATTAATTAATAAAAATAGTTAAGGAAAAATATAAGAACTGTTTTGGGGGATGGGCAGGAGACATTACATCTACCTGTTAGTTTTTGATGTATCTTTTATTCAACTTACACCATTATAATATCCATTTGACAAGTTATTTTACCTGACAGCAGCTGTTTGAACTAAATGCAAATGGAATGTGTAAAAAGACACTAAATAGAAGGCTACAAACATAATAAATTTGGTTTAGTTCAGACTTACAATTTGCAATGTAGTCAGAGAAACACCAAATTTCATGAGATAAGAATACTGTGAAAAAACTGCATAACTCATTTCTTTCTCATGTGAATTTGAAATATGGTGAGACATGGCTGTGAAAATAAGCTACGTTCAGATGGTCACTGTACAGTAGAAGTGTATGATTTATTAATTTTGGATTGAAAAAAAAAAAAGTGTTCAAAAAGCCTTCTAATTGCAAAAAGAAGGCAAATGTGTCAACTACCATTCTTCAAAACTCTGATGCTGCCTTCAGTGTTACTCACTTGGACTATTGCCATGCTGCCTGTTTCTGATTTTATCATCACTGGTGGCTGTATTGAAAATGGGAGAATCCTGAATGAGTCCTGTCTTAATGCTGGATTGTGTTGTGTCTCATCAGCCTGTGGCAGATTCCAGATAGCTGTACTTTTCACATTCATATTCTGCTCAAACGAGATTTATTTTTTTTAATGTAAAGTCTGTTCTGCAAGGGAGAAAAAGATGTTTTTAAGTTTTATAGTCTAACATGATAACTGCTGAAGTGTAATTTATAATCTGTTTATATCTTCTATATACAGTAAAGAAATGTTTGCAAAAATGGAAATCATTGGCCAGTTCAATTTAGGGTTTATAATAGCAAAGTTGAATTCTGATCTTTTCATAATTGACCAACACGCTACTGATGAGAAATACAACTTTGAGATGTTACAACAACACACTGTTCTTCAAGGTCAGAAGCTGATAGCGTAAGTATTTTCAGTGTTTTATCCTTCTGAAACACTGAATTAAACATTATTCTCGTTATTTATGTTTATATTTTTGTAGCATTTCACACATTCAAAACACAAGACAAAAGTTGGTTTTATATTCTATGTTTCAAAGAGTCAATCTTCACATGAAAAATACATTCCACAGATACAGTCGTAGCTATGCAGAAGGTCAGTGGTCAAAAAAATTCCACAGTGGGCCTACATGGCAACCTCCAGCTTGGTAAGAGTGGTCATCCAGTGAGGAGACACACACTCATACATTGAGGTACAGACACTCACACACTGGGAGTGCTGCCCAACCAACCTCACTCTGCTGAGTAACGCTTGGAAGTGATCTATTCAGTAGTGAGATATTTTTAACAAAGCAAAGTGAAGTATTTTAATAGAGCTCTGTACTAGTATCACTAGATTGCTTCTGAAACCTATCTTAAGTGGTCTGCGCTATGTGCCTATGCAATACGTATCTTCTGTCTCTTTCAGGCCTCAAAATCTCAATTTAACAGCTGTAAATGAAACTGTGTTGATTGAAAATCTGGAAATATTCAGAAAAAATGGGTTTGATTTTGTCATAAATGAAAACGGTGAGTTTAGGCCAGAATTAATAGAAGTAACAAATAGTCAACCGTTTCATCTCATTTATCATGTAAAAGTCTCTTCTGGTAGTTATCAGAAACTTCAAAATAATATGCATTACAGTATATTATTTTTGGGTTTTAAGATTTAGGATTCTGTGGTTTGTTTGCACTGTTTAACAGAACATTGTAGAGTATTTATCTTGCCAGCTTTTTATGGAAGCTTCTGAAGATTCTTTGGGGTCACTGTTTGACTATGTGGCTGGTGGTTTATTTTCTGGATGTTACATAAAAATCCTTTTTTTTATATACTGGTACACTTGCAGGTCCCAGGAAGGTTAGATGCAGGCAAATGATAAATCTAGTGACTTTAGAATTCATAGATAGCATTGATAAATAATATTCTTTGGTTTCCTTTATGGCTTTAGCATTGACTTGCTGTGTAGTTTGGAGCAAACTGCATAACTTGCAAGCTCCTTACTGTTTTCTTTATACAGCAAGAATAATGCAAGTGCAGTGTGTTACCACTTTGGTATATGGGAAGTTGCTACAGACTTTCATCATATTCTTTATTGCAGAATCTCCAATTTTTGCCTAAAATGCTGTTGATTATCAATCACTTACCAACAAAAATCCTTAATTATTTTGTAGTCACATAACCTCAAAATAGCTTCATAAACCATTTGTTCTTTGAAATTGAAGGGTTTGTCAGAAATGAGATCTATCTGCTTTTAAGTTTACAAGCAATTGTTTGGTTAAAGTTTAGAAGGGTATCTGCCATAGTTACCATCATGGTTGGTTAGTGACACCTATCAAAAGACTAAATTTAAATCTTTGCATATATGCAGGTCACATCATATTAACATATCAAAGCCATTTCTCAGTTCTCTTGGGAAGAGGTAATTTCCTGTAATGCTCTGTTTTATTAATTACTGCAAATCTTTCAGCTCCTGTAACTCAAAGAGTTAAATTAATATCGTTGCCAACAAGCAAAAACTGGACTTTTGGTCCACAAGACATAGATGAGCTGATCTTCATGTTAAGTGACTGCCCTGGAGTCATGTGTAGGCCCTCCAGGGTCAGACAGATGTTTGCTTCCCGAGCTTGCAGAAAGTCTGTAAGTACAGCACTTAATGCTTGATTTCAAATAAATACTGTGTTTTCTGTTGTGTTACAGGTATCTGTGTGTGTGTGTATATGTATATGTATATATGTGTGTGTATATATATATATATATTGCAGAGGAAGTTTATTTACTATTGAGTGTCAACAGCTGATATCCTTCATTTAGTGCTTTGTGTTTTTGTCTAGAGTAACTTGGGGAAAAATTTCTGGTAGTTTTATTTTGTTTCAAGCTAGTGTGCTTATGAACATACTTAACTGTATGTTGTCTTCTGGTCATCTTGTAGGTCTTTTTGCTTTTAATGTCTTGCACAGTATTTATTTGCTCTGGTTGCTGAAGTACTGCTTTTACCTGTGTCAGTTGTCAATATGGAAAAAGAAAATAACAACTGGGTTTTTTTCTCCCTTACTTGCAGGTGATGATTGGAACTGCACTGAACGTGCAGGAAATGAGAAAACTGGTCACCCATATGGGCGAGATTGAGCATCCCTGGAATTGCCCCCACGGAAGGCCTACTATGAGACACATACTCAGTATAGACTTGATTTCAACAGAATAAGTCAATTTCTGTTTATTAACATTCTTGATTTTAATTCTTGGTGATATTTGAACTTTCATCGTGACTCTTCATTTTGAGTAAAAATTTTAGCCAGTCTTCAAGTTTGAAGACAATTACACTTAAAGGCACTCTGCAGGGTTACATTGTAGTTCCTATCAAATCAACAATATCAACATACTGGAATTTGTGTGTAAATAACATTTATCGCTATTACACTGTGTATATTTGCAACTAAGGCTTTTAAATAATAAATGTTTATATATAAAGATCAAGAGTAGGTGAACCTCATTTCTAGCAAATATGGAGACTTAATTTTAAGTGGAATGTCAATTTAAGTCTCTAGTAATGCCATAAAACAAACATTATCATATACAGCATGTATAAACATAGAATTTTGAAGATGTAAATGATGTGCAAGTGAAAAGACTTTTTGTTACCTAATGAAACACAGCTTTAGTATAAGTATCTACTTCAAGCATTAATACTGCATTTAATGCTTAACCTACTGATATCTGTGTTTAAGGCTTGAATAGGGTCATTCATCTGGTGTATTGCTATTAATTAGAATTGTTCCCATGCCTATTCCAAGCTTTTTCAAGAACAGGAATTCCTTTTCTGAGAATGAATGGAAAAAAGCCTTCTCACCAGGCACTGCTGATCAGGTCAGTCCAAATTCCATCTCGACAGAATCAAAATAGTTAGAAAACTGACTTTTTAAATCAGAAGTCGATTAAAACAAAGAGCTAGGCTCTTCCACTTCTGTAGGACCACGATTTGACCTAAGAGTCTTTGTGTTTGTTAATGGCTTTCCCTCCGCACCTCCATTTGGCGCTGTCAGGGCGCAGGGGCAGTGGTGCTGCGGCCCTGCTCCTCCTCCCCGCTCTGTGGCTGCTCCGGCGGGCCGAGGCCTAACGCCGTGGGACCGTCACGGCCCGTGTGCCACGCAGCGGGCCGCCGTCCGCCATCCCTGGCGGCTCTGCGTTACCCTGAGCCCCGCCAGGGCCCTTCCCCGCGGTCCCGAGTAACGCGGGGTTAATCTGACCCGAGGCACCGTGAGGAGAGGCTGTTTACCATCCATACAGCTGAAAACAGTGACCCAGCCCTTTTCTGAGAGGGGAAGAAGTCAATGCAAGATCGAAAAGACATCATACTCTTAAACTTCTCTCTTATCTGGGAGCAGCAGATAGGAAATCATAAGTACATTAATGCAAACAGCATTTGTACTGGCCAAGTAAGGTACGACTAACAATTTATTTTTAACAATGCTGACACTACCCATACTGCAGAAATAATAACAAAGAGCCTTGAGTAATAACTTCCCCTTAGATTTCTTTTTACAGTACTTGCAGCA